CTTCATTCTCACAGTGGATGATACAAAGCAGAGTATAGGTTTTTAAAGTATACCCTTATAGTGTTCTGAAACTTTGCAGTGTCTGTTGTTATGTCTCCGCTTATATCTCTGATTTTGTTGATTTCCTTTTGTTTAACTGGGCTAAGGGTCTGTCTATTTTGTTTAGCTTTTCAAAGAACCAGGTCTTAGATTCATTAACTCTTTGCATTGTTTTCTTTGTTTCTATTTCATTAATTTCTGCTCAGAGTTTTGTTATTTCTTCTCTTCAGCTGGGTTTCTGTTTCATTTGTTCTTGCCTTTCCAGAGTCTTGAGTTGCAATGCTATGTCATTTTTTTGTGTGTGTGCTCTTTCTCATTTTTTAATGTAGGCACTTAGACCTAAAATCTTCCCTCTTAGGACTTCTTTTAAAGTGTCCCAGAGGTTTCGTTATGTTGTATTGTCCTCTTTGTTGATGTCCAGGACTAATTTATTTCTTTCTTAATTTCTCCTTTGACCCACTCATCATTCAGGAGTGTGTTGTTTAATCTCCATGAGTTCATGTAGTGACTAGGGCTTCTTCCAGTGTTGATTTTAAGCTTTGATGCATTGTGGTCTAATAGAATGCATGGAATTATTTCAATCTTTTTGTATTTATTGAAGTTTGTTTTGTGCCCCAATATGTGGTCAAATTTTGAGGAAGTTCTATGAGGTGTTGAATAAAAGTATATTCTTTGGTGCTTGGGTGGAATATTTGGAAGATGTCTGTTAGGTCCATTTGATGTATGGTATCATTTAATTCAGATGTCTGTCTGTTTATTCTTTGTGCAGTTGACTTGTCTAATGGAGAGAGTAGGGTATTGAAGTCCTCTGCCATTACTGAGTTGGGATTAATCTGTGTCTTAAAATCCTATAGTGTTTTTTTATGAATTTGGATGCACCAGAGTTTGGTGCATGTATGTTTATGATTGTAATATCCAATGGGTTAATTGTTCCTTTGATCAGAAGGAAGTGACCCACTATCTTTCCTGATTAGTTTTAGTTTGAAGTCTAGTTTGTCAGATATTAGAATTGCGACCCCTGCTTGTTTCTTAGTGCCATTTGCTTGAAATATTAGTTTCCATTTTTTCACCTTAAGATAGTGCCTGTCCTTGAAGCTGAGATAGGTTTCTTACAGACAACAAAAAGATGGATTTTGTTTCTTAATCCATTCAACTAGCCTGTGTCTTTTGATTGGGAAATTTAATCCATTAATCTTTAAAGTTATTATTGAAAGATGTGTATTGGTTGCCTTCATGTTGATTACTGTTTGTATTCTTTGTCTAATTTTGTGTTTCCACAATTATACCTTCATTTGGTTTCTTTCTATTGCCCTGGGGTATAAATGTTCCTTTCTCTGTTCTTTGTATTGCTTCAAGTATTCCTTGAAGGGCTGGTATTATGGACATGTATTTTTTCAGGTTATCTGTGTCATGGAAGATTTTTCTTTCTCCTTCAACTATAATAGACATTTTTGCTGGCTACAGTATTCTGGACTGGCATCTATGGTATTTAGAACTGGAAATACCTTTGTCCAGGCTCTTCTGGCTTTCATAGTTTGCATGATGGGCTGACAGTTGTAATTCTGATGGGTTTTCCTTTATATGTGAGTTGTTTCTTTTGATGCATTCCATACTCTCTGTTCATTCTGTACATTTAGTGTTTTTACTCTGATATGCTGTGGGGAGTTTCTTTTCTGATCCTGCCTATCTGGTGTTCTATGGGCTTCTTGCATTTGTATGGGGATGTCTCACATTAATTTTGGGAAATTCTCTTCTACAATATTGTTTAAAATCAATACAATTAACATGAAATTCTTCTCATTCCTCTATTCCTATGATCCATATATTTGGTCTTTTCATGGTGTCCCACATCTCCTGCATATTCCACTCCATTTTTATTTAATTTTTCATAATCTTTGCTTGAGTGGTCCAATTCTTCAACTTTATCCTCCAGTGCTGACATTCTGTTTTCCATTTCATTCACTCTAGCAGTGAGGCTTTCTCCTGTGGTTTCCCATTGGCTTACTGAGGTTTTTCACGTCTTCATTTCAGCCTGAGTTTTCTTCAGTGTTTGTATCTTTTTTGTGAATTCATCCAGAAGTTTATCACTATCTTCTTTTACTTCTTTGATTGGTTTGTTTGTGTATTCTTTAAATTCATTGAATACCTTGATTATACTTATGGTTATTCTTTTAAATTCTGTGTCCTGGGTTATCTCTAGAGCATTCTCTTTGTAGAACTCTTCTACAGGATTGGTGGAGTTTGGTGAGAGCATGCTGTTTTTGTTTTCCATTTTACTATTTTTTTGTTGTTGTGATTTGGGCTATGAATTTCTTTTGTTTTCAGGGGTTCTGGTATAAGAACCAAGCCTTCTTTTGTTGAGCTGAAGTGTGCTTCTGCTTGTATTATTAGTGTGCCGTAGTTGTTTTCTTATTGGGTATATAAATCTGGTTGGTATAGATTTCAGGTTCTCTCAGATTTTATTTTGGAGGGAACTGGTGGCTTCAGATCAGCTACTCAGGAGCTCCCACAGAGGCCCAAGTCAGGTTCCAGTCAGGTACACTCAGACTTCCTTCTAACATTTGGACCCCTACTAGCAGGCACTCAGAGCACAATTTGGGAAGTTCCTATGGGGAGGCCTGAGTTTGGCATTCTCAGGCTGTCTGCTGAGTTCTCAACCTTTACCCTAATGTAAGGCAGAGGGATCTATGCCTCTGGACATCGGAGGGGGTCTCACATAATCCCACTTAGGAGATTGGGTAGGGCATGATTTGGAGAAGCTTTGGGGAAGCTCACCACCATGTGGAGGCTGGATCCAGGAGCTCTCAGGTCATCTGCTGAGGTCTCAGCCCCTACACCAGGCAGAGGCCAGATCAGACACTCTGGTGGAGAATATTTCAAGGCAACCTAGTAGAAATGGTGGCATGACTGTTAATGGTGAATATTATACATATGTACAGTGAAAGAGAGAAAATGGGGCACAAAGAAATGCAGAATATGCAGCTTGGATTGAAAAAGAGCACAAGGAAGATAAATGCTGAATCCAAGGCATGTGCTGAAAGAGAAGATCCCTTTGATAAGAAGATTAAAATGATTAAGGAGAGGCCTAGAGCTTTTCACTTAAATAATAGAGAGAGTGCTTCCAGGGCAATATCACACCCATCCAACTCTCCAATTTGTAAAAGGAAAGTGCTGGAGTTTTCTACTCCTAGAAAACCACATCAGAGAAAACTTCAAAGGTGGATGAAACATGTGAGGATCCATCCCAAACTTGCAGCCAAACTTGGCAATATCATTCACCTGGTGCTGGCTTTAGAGGCCTTAAAGATACAAGAATGAAGGGGTCATTAGTTCTTCCTTCAAGATTTCAGATGTCCTCTGAGGCCAGACACCTTGCAGCAGGGGTATTCCGGCATAAAGAAGGCCCTGATAAGCCATTGTGTAAAACTGTAAAGGTGAAGCTGGCTGACAGTGGAGACTCCAAGAAGACATTCATGATGCCAGAGCTGTGATATATCTGCCAAGGACAGCTGCATGCAGGAAGTGGTACCAGTCCAAAAGAGAGATGAATGTTTCGCACAGCAAATCTGGAGAGGCTGAGCCATATAAGCTTTTTTTAATAGCAGTTTACAATTAAGAGATTTCCCTGAGTTTCAGAAGAGACCTTGGACTATGGACTTTTGAAGAGTATTGAGACTGATAAAGACTATGGGGACTTTTAAGGATAGACTGACTGCACTTCACATTTTATATAGTCATGAGCCTGTGGGAGCCAGGGAGTGGAATGTGGTGGTTTGAATTGGAATGTTCCCCAGAGGTACCAAGTATTTGAAAATATTTTGTCCCCAGTTGATGGCACTGTTTTGGGATGTCTTTAAAAGTTCAGCCACACTGAAGAAGCAGGTCACTGTGTGTAGGTTTAGAGAGTTCATAACTTGTGACTATGCTGGAGAACAAATCACTGGGAACAGGCTTAGAGAGTTCTCAGTCTGTGGCCATGCTGGAGGAAGTATGCCACTAGGGGACAGGCTTAGAGAGTTCTCAAGTCTTGCATGATTTCTAATTATTCTCTGCTTCCTGTGCCTATATGAAGATGTAACCACTTAGCTTCTGCTTCTGCTTCAGCCACCTCTGCCACCATGCCTCCCTGCCATGATGGATTTAATTCCACCAGAACCATAAGTTCAAATAAACTCTTCCTTCTATAAGTTTCTTTCCTCAGTGTTTCTATTACAGTAATAGAAAAGTAACTAATACAATGTCCAAAATAATACGTGAAAGATAGAAAAAGTAAGTCATATTGTGTCCTTGAAGCACCAGAAAGTTATTCAGTCCCTCTTATAAGAGTTAATTTCCTTGAAGTACCCAGGGTCCATTCCATTGCATCAATATATTGAAACTGATTAACTACTTTTAGCATAGCAAACTTTTTCCTAGGTATTAGGAAGAGAGTAGAAGACAAGAGACATACACTTATGCCCCCATACTCCAATGGGGGACAAAAGAAAATGAAAATATGGACAATTAGAGCACTGGCAGACCTAAAGCATTAAGAAAGGATTTGTATAGTAAGCTAGCGTGGTAGGAGACCACTCAAATGGGAGATATTTACAGAGAAAGTGATGTTGGAGATGAGACTTGAAGAAGCTGTCCCCACAGGGGAAGAACCATGATGCAGCAGCACAGACAAATCATGAGAAGGAGGGGTGGGATGTTTGTAAAATCCTTCTCACATGGAATTCCCATTAAGGAAAACATTATCTCACGCAAAGAGACCCTGTGTATGTAACCGTAAAGCAAAAACAGCCTCAGAACCTTACCATAACTTCTAGTCTTACTCTCAGAGGACACAGGTCATCTCTTAATATCATAGGCTTAATTCCATATTCTGGATAATTTGTTTTTATTGAAAAACAAACCTCTAAGTGTTCTAAGTGTTAGAGCTTCATTCACCTTGATGACCACACCTGAGAGACACATACCTCTTGTCTTCTATGACTTGTTTCATCTTCAGGGCCAATGTCTCCTCCTTGACATTCTGAGCCTGGATAGAGATTCCAAATTTTTTTGCTTCTACTCGGACCATGTTATCAAGTTGATCTGCATTGACCGCAATTCCTACTATGGGAACACCATGCTGGATGGCCTCTGCCACACTACCTATTCCTCCATGGGTAACAAAAAGGCGAATGTTTGGGTGGGCTGTTGTAAAAAGAAAAATGTACAACATTTAAGATTAAAGGCTCAGAACACCAGTTAAATGAGTACCTCAAGGAAAAACCAGTGAGACCTCAGGGTGTGTTTGATAGTAAAATCATTGCTGTTTTGTAGAAAGTACTCAGTTGTGCATGTTCTGGAATATAAAATTCAGACTTGCCTCTGCATGTAGCTTCTTCTCATCCCCAACCATCTGAGACCCAAAACCCGCAGAAATCTTCAGGGAAGAGTGACAATCAAGGACTGATCCTCTGTCTAGCCATTGATACTTCACGTCTCTCCCTCTTCACTTCTCTCACCTCTTGTTTATCTCTGCCTTCCTCATCTCCATTCTCTAATAAAACTAGAACTGTATATTGTGCTTGATGTAGTTTGTAGAAGCCCTGAAATCAGACAGTGATGCACTGTACCATACAAATCTGTATTTCCAAACTGTATTACCTGCTCTATCTTTATTTAATGAAAACAAAATCACTAATGATAAATAAATCATAGGTCTCCAAATGTGTCACAAAATCAGCTTATCTTTTGTAGAAAAATGAGAATAAGAATCTTTTCTCAAAAATATTCCTGTGATTAAAGTATATACAAATTAGTGACTTAAATTACTGCATTTTGACTATAATCCTAGTAATGACTTATTATTTATACAATAGTAGTGAGATATCTGCAAAAAAAACAGCTCAGAAACAAGGATACTAATGTGGGTATAAGGTACTTTCTATAACACCAAAACTAGACAGATTTAGTACCTATAGTGAGGTACTCAACCTGACACTGTCATAGCTTGGAACAACCTCAACAATTGGGAGCACAAAAGTTGTAAAGTTATGCATCTTCAAACCCTTCCTTGATAGGAAGACTGTATCCTTTTGTACTTGTGTGTTTGTATCACATACTCAACAGGTGCTAAGGAGTACACTAAAGACAGTGGCAATGCACTAGTAAGTATGACCTGTGAGTTCACATGTCTCAGTGGATTGTACTCAAATAGTCCTCTCAGGGCCAGAGGGAGTGCAGTCAAAGTGACCTGACAGAATGTGATTTCTCACTAACAATAAAAGGGCTGTCCTGGCATGGAAATTTGGAAGTATGGTCTTATTCCTCAAATCTCTAGCCAACAGATGCCTTTCTGCCCCAGAAAGGTTACCTATCAGCAGTTACAGCTAATGTTAGTTCAAATGCCCACCTAGACATTTGAGATCTAGTGAACATATTAGTGTAAAGAGAGGAGCATGCCTGTGTATTCCTTACCCAGGAGGTCATTCTGAGGAAGCCAGTCCATAATTTTCACATTTGCAGCCAATTTGATATCGTTGGGCCAATGAGAAGCTTCAAACTTCCATATCACCCCTTGAGGGAGGTGGGCAAAGGCATTGTTCATCTCTTTAATGATTTCCTTTGTCTGAAAATAGCTTATAGCAGAGCCCTGGGCCACAAGGACAAACCCAGAGTCCCCAAACTTAGCAATGAAGTTCTCCAAGTCCTACAGAAATTGATCAAACAAAAGGAATCAACAAGGTTGCTCACGACATTCTGAATAGGTATTATGTGAAAGTCAGACCACGTATAAACACATCCACCCATTAGCACCTTGTGTGAAGTGTCCTGAACCACCTTTCATAGCCCCTTCTATAAATCACTGTCCTCTGTATCCTGCCTATATTTCCTGTTCTTGGATTTTCTATAAGTCATTTGTCTAACCCTTGGACATGTTCCATGTAAGCATTTTATACAATCAGTACGAGTCTGAAGAAGGCTCTGACAGCTCCATGGCCTGCATTGCACGTGAGGGACTTAGAACATAAGCGCACCAACAGTTCCAGATCCTGGATGTCTGTGTCAAATGGTGAAATAGAGAAGCTGGGATGCTTTGAATATCTCTCTTCACTAAATTCCTGATCCTTGTATCAAGGTCGTACTCATTGCTCAGTGCAGATCCTGGGAGCTATGAGGATTGTGGTATCTTCCAAGATTCGACCAATAGTGCTTGGGAATGCAGAAGAGTTACTTTTCCTGAAGCCAAGTTGTAAAACCTGCAAGAACATTTCTATCAATCCTTGTCACTACTCCCAGTGTGTATTTGCTTCAATATTTCTTTTCATTCAAAGCCTTACCCCTTCATGGTTATTCCCCTGTGTGGTTGGGTTCAGACTATAGCTGAAAATTAGAAAGGCTTGGGAAGATAGCTTCAAAGCATTAAGCAAAGATCCAACCTGAGACTGGGCATAAAATTAGTTTATGCCACTCACATGATTGGATTCTTGTTAAAGAGAAATTCACATAACTATTTCTATTGTGAAGAAAAATGTAGTTGGACTCAACACCTTCTCTAATCTGTTAACTGCTGAGTCTATCTCATTTTCACAGGTCTTATCCTTTGAGCAGCCATGCTCCATTTTTCCCTACTTCAGGCCCTGGAATTCACCAGTGCTGCTTTGTCTGAACTGCATGTTCTTGAATGTTTATATAGTTTATATAGGTGAATTATATAAGGTGTGGCATTAGCGGTTGGCTTCTTTGACAGCGTACTCTTCTGCTTTTTCTAGTTTATCCTGATTATAGCATATATGGTTACTTTTCCCCTTATGCCTAAAAATATTTGTGTGTGTGCGCACATATATATGTATATATATATATGTCATGAAAGCCAGGAGGGGGGTGTTAAGGGGGAGGATGAAGACCAGCAAGTAGCAGTAGTAACAGCAGAGAGGAAGTGTGAAGATGACCAGTGTACAATGACATACATGTATGAAAATCCATAATTAATTCATTACTTTGTATAATTACCAAAAACATCTTTTTTAAAAGGGCAAAGAAAGAAAGAAATATTTGGTAGAATTCTTCAGTCAAGCCATTTGACCCTGAACTATTTTTATTGACAGTTTTTTGATAACTGATTCAATATATTTACTTATTACAAGTTTGTTCAGGTTTTCATATTTTTCTTTCAGCATTTTGTTACCATATATTACCTCAAAATGTGTCCATTTCATTGAGATTGTTTACTTTGATGATGTAGTATTTTTCTAAATACTTGCTTTAACATGCGGTCTTTCACCCCTGAATTTAATTGATTCTTCCCTTTTACTGTCTATAATGACTCCTCCTATTGGCATGCCAATGTGTTGCTTGTTTTAAAGAATTCATTTTTTATCTCAATGATGGTATCTATTTCTTCTTTGTTGTTTCATCTGTCTCTAACTTTTATTGTTTGCTTCTCAGCATTGAGTTTAGGTCTCTCATCTTTGTTTACTCTTTTACCCAGAAAGATTAGGGTATTAAATTTATGTCTTTCTCTCTGTTCCTGCTACATCCACAGCTGTCCATTTCAGACTCAGCTCTGCTTTGCTGCTCTCCAAACATTATGTTACATTTTCTGTCCTTTTAATTAAAATACAATCTTTTCAAATTTACCCCTTGATTTTCTTCTATGTCTCACTGGCTAATTAAGCTGGGTTTTTTTTCACTTTTGCATTTTGGTGAATTTTCTGATTATTGATATCCATCTCATTCCATTGCGATGCAAAAATACAAAACACTTGAAATTATTGAATTTTGTTTAGTGGCATAACATACTGTGAGTTGGATGCCAGTTTCCCCCATAAACTCGTGTTTAGAATTTTAGTCGCCAGATAGTGGTGCTATTGTAGAAGGTGAAATTATACTGGAAAAAGTGGGTCACTGAGTTCAAGCCTTGAAGTTTGTAACCCAGCCTCACTCCCTGTCTATTCTCTATTTCCTAACTATGCATACAATATTAAGCATTGCCTCATATTCTTTCCTCCAGTTCTTCCCCAACACAGAGGACAGAATCACCTCACTGTGAGTCAAAATAAGCCCTTCCTTCCTTAACTTGCTTCTTATCACTTATTTGGCCACAATAGAAAAAAAAACAGTAACTAACATACATATGAACTATCTAGAATTACATATCATGTGAATTTGAAAAAGAATATGTATTTTCCTGTTACTGCACAGAGTATTGTTTGTTTCCATTAAATCTGGTTGTTTTAAAGCGCTTCAAAGTTCATATCTCTTTATTAGTCATTCATATGGGAAAACTTTCTGTTTCTCAAACTAGAGTATTGAAGTATCAGGATAATGTTTTAGGCATGTATTTTTTGCTTCAATTCTGTTCACATTTTAATTTCATAAATTTCGTTGCTGTTTTCTTTGTGGTATTTATGTCTAGCCTTATTCTATATTCTTGATGAATGCTTTCACATGTTTTATGTGATAACTATAATATTAGGCTTAAAAACTAAAACAGAAAAGTATAATTATGTAACATCCTTTTTGCATTTTTGTAAAAGTATTTTTACAAAGCATACTTTAATAATAATATAGTCAACAAAGTTCTATTTTGATCATTAGAAGGTTCTTAAGTGCTATTGTGGTTTAACAGCAAATATTTGGATATGCGTGCTTCGATAAGGTTACCTCATCACATTTCTTCCTATTTTCCCTACATTAATAATCTCACTTCACTCTCAAGTGCTAATCCCCAGTCCATCCTTCCATCATGGAATATTTCTGGAACTCCTCTTCATGGAATATTTGTGAAACTGTGTCTTCCCTTCCTCGACTCAAATCAGATCTCATGACTGCCTCATTTCTACATCCAAATACTGAGCTCCTATTCTTACCTAGAGAGACTCACTTTCCAGGTTCTTTTCCAAAAGCACCTGATATCAATGCAAATCCCATCTAACCAAAACTCAGTGAGCCAACACCTCCTGCTTGCCCAATGAGGAAGGTCAGTAGAAGCAGAATGGTAGATGCTTAGTGCCCAGAACAGTCTGAATAAATTCATGCCTTCTCTCTACATGAGGTTGAAAAGCAATAAGAAAGTCATTTATATCCATTAAACTATTATTCCCTATCTTTTAAAATGGAGGACATGGTCATACATACTTAAAAGTAGCAGGACTGGGTGTGGTGGCACACGCCTTTAATCCCAGCACTTGGGAGGCAGAGGCAGGGGGATTTCTGTGAGTTCAAGGCCAGTCTGGGCTACATAGTGAGTTCTAGGACAGCTGGGGCTACAGGGAGACCCTGTCTCAAAAAGACCAAACCAAAAAAAAGTAGCAGTAAACTGTAGATGATAACACCTGTAAAATGGTAACAACATAATGCTAACAGTCAACAGGCAGCCAACTAACCTGACAGCTTCACACTTTAAAACTTCAGTGACAGTGGTTCTAAGTTCAGTCTGTGCATTCAAACCACATGGGAAAATTTGACACTTAGAAAAGCTGAATCACCACATGGAAATCAAATCAAAAGGTCACAGTAGAGAAAGAGCCAGGGCTGCATGGGCTAGGGACACAGGAATGAGTTTGGAGTTCTTGACACTTCCATAAAGTTCTTCCCTGGGCGTTTCCATCTCAAAGATCAGTCAATTTCATTCTGACTAAATTCCATACTCAATAATTATTGCATGACTGTGTCCTTACTACATTCATTATATACATACCAAAGAATGAAATAATCAATTTTAATTAAAGAGTTTATATCAGCAAAGCCAGAACTAGAGTGAGACAAGAGAGGAGTCCACAATGCACCACAAAACCAGGGCCTTAATCATCGGGTCGAAAAAGTTATAATTTTATGTTTGTATAACCTACCAAATGGATGCCTGAAGTGCCTCCTTTACCATATCCTATTCACAGGATCCTCTGGCAGATGGCAAGTACCACCTGTGCAATCTGCTTGAAACCCAAATTGAAGACTTAGTATTCATTTACCTGTGGGATGGGTTTAATGGATTGAGCCAGTAAGCCTCCAACATAAATAGTATTGGGAAGCAAAGGACGAGCAAAATCCAAGGCAAAGTCAGAGTTAACAAACCACAGCTCTGCTTTCTGTAGAAGATCAGACAAACCTGGCCGAGAACCTTCTGCAAAATGCTCCTGGATGGTGTTGTCATACTGAGAATATATTTTCCTTTGCTTCATGGAGAAATCAAAGAACATCAGAAAGTTCTTCACTCGGCCCCAGAAGTCCATTTGGTCCGTTAGGCCAGAATGGTATATTGGAACATAAGACAAGGGGGTTGGTAGCCCAAAGTCCATGAGGCTAAATACCATGGGAAGAAAAGACACAAATGGCTTCCCGAGCTTTTCAGCAATCAGGAAAGTACAGAGATCTGTTGAATCCAAAAGTAACAGGTCAAAGTCTTCACTCCTTAAGGAATCTATGATGTCCCGTCTTCCTAATAAATAGCTGCATACAGTCCCAAAATGTTCAAATAGCTTTAAGAAGCTGTAGAATTTCTCCCTGTAAAAATTAAAATAAAAAAATATGTATTTGGAAAGTGTTCATTTCAAAGTGTTATTTAAAGAAAATATTCCAGGTAAGTAAAGTGGAACATGCGTATCTCCACTCAATCCATCACTTCCCAGCAAGTACCTTCATCCTGGTCACTCTTGCAGGTATTTCTACTTCTTAAAATGCCCTGAAAAACTCTTGCCTCATATCTTCTATTGAGCTAAATCTCACCTGTTACTAATGTAAATTCAATTCCTTCTACACTGGAACCTTAGTAACTATAGCTGATCTCAGACTTCTGTCTTCAACATTTACAAGATGCTCTTTTTAACCCTCATTTATATAATGACATTTTGAGTAACTTTAATGTTTTGTTGTAAAGCTGGTAAATAACCTAATAGCAGCTTCTAAAGTATCAATAATATGGTCTAGTGTAAAGATCACTAGGAGTCCTGCTCCTACAAGTAATTAAGATAGTTCTTATGAGACACTGAGTTAGTTCTCATGACTAAACTATAAAGAAAAAAGAACAAACAAACCTTACCACCCCTTGCTTTGGTCTCTTGCTTCTCCCCTGGGATCTTGTCTTTTTATTTCTGCTATGACAATAGTGACACTATAAAGTCCTACCAATGTGACCTGGTAATGGTCATATAGCCCTAAATCTCTACAACTATGAGGCAAGTCAATCTCTTATATTTACAAAGTTATACATTAGAATTTATAGGAATAAAGACTGGAGAAATAGCTTAGGAGTTAAGAGCTCTGGCTGCTCTTGCAGAGGAGCAGAGTTTCAGTTCCTAGCACTCATATGGAGGCTAACCACCATATTTAACTCCAGTTCCAGGAGATCCACACTGATATATACCTTTCTTCTATATCCCTGTGCCAACCAACATTTATCCAATTATCATCCATCTACTATCCAGTATACATTATCCATCTTTACACCCATTCAACCACCCATCCATCCTCTTCTCTCAAACTCACTTTGAGTAGTGCCTATCCATTCATTTATATAACCAGCAATGAAAACAAATTACCTGCCATTTAAGGCTTCCTGAATATAGACTTGAAAATTCCTTGATAATTCCTTTTCATGATCTTCAGGTAGGTTCCACTGGATAACCTGGTATGATTTTTCCTCTTCTTTTAATGAAAGAAAGTAAAGGACAAATGTATCACAACATATAGGCTAACATTACCATGTTAATAACAAAATTATTTACTCCAGTATTATGGGAAATTTTCCTTCTTATAATTTCTGTTGATATGTGTGCATTGTGCACACTGAGATTTTTACAAAGGTATTTAGAGGGCTGGAGAGATGGCTAAGACAAGTAAAGTAGAACATACAAGCATGAGGAACTAAACTTCATCATTAGCAATCACATAAAAATGCTGAACATGCAGATAGGCCTGCAATCATATAGCTAGAGAGGCAGAGACAGAATCTCCAGGACTTGCTGGCCAGCTAGTATAGCAGAATGAGTGAGGTTCAGATTCATTGAGAGACATAGTCTCAAAAGATAAGCTAGAGAGTGATTGAGAAAGACATCAACCTCTAGCCTCCACAGAAGTTTCTGTGCACACACAAGCACACACACACACACACACAGAAATACATACACACAAACACACACACACATACACACACACACATATGATCTTTTCTTACAACTATATCGTGTACTTTGTCCATATCCACTCTACAAACCCTTCCCCATTCTACTGTATTTCTGGTCCTGATGGTCTACTTTGATCCCTGATCAGACTCCCACTTCTAATTTCATGTCATGTAGACACATGTATATATGTAAATGGTTTTATGTATTTATATGAAATCTAAGATCAATATAGATGGAACCTCTACACATAAGGCTCATGGAACATACAAGAACAGGGGGTAGAGAGAAAACTCATTCATCCCTCAGCTCTTACCAGTGAAGTTTCCTTATAAAACAGAGTGCAATGCACAGGGAAAGCCACAACTGGCCAAGTTTTATTGAATGAGAGACTTCAGAGTGTGTGCCCCTGAATAGGACTCCTATATTAAACCTCACCCACCCATGGCTCAGGGACCATTGTGGAAGAAGGGGCAGAAAGATTGTAAGAGCCAGGGTTGGTCCATGAACATAGGGAAACAGAGACTTTCAAGTCACTGGAAGCTTGCACCTGTGAACTTGCTGCAATGGTGGTGTCAAGCACAAGACAGACCCATGCCAACTCAACCAGACAAGGGCCTAGAGTGGAGCACAGCAATGGTAGCCACCTGGCCTTAGTCTGAAAACTATTGGAAACTGATTACTACTGGGTGAGGGAGCGTATACTATACTTATAATCTCTAGATAAGCTGACTAGATTCCAGTAGATGGATTTGCATCAAAGGATATCAGGGTACAATGCTTGACTGGATAGGATTTAACATGTATGGTGGAATGCATGAGGTTGGGGGGGAATGGATGAGGGAGACAGTCTAAATTTAATTAAGAACTGTTGTGTAAAATGTACAAAAGTTCAATAAAAATTGTTTTTTAAATGTGATATTTGTCTTTTTATTTCTTTTAATATGACTATCTCCAATTATATTAATTTTCCTGCAAATGGCATAAGCAATTCTGCTTGATGACTAAATAAAGCTTCACTGTATTCCTATACCACATTTTATTTTTGGATTCACCTATTGACAGACAACTAGGATGATTCCAAATCTTGGCTATTGTGAATAATGGTTCAATAAACAAGTATCTCTATGACATGTTGACTTAGAATCTTGTGTATATACTCAGAACTTGTATATCTGGTCATGTGGTCATATTTTTATTTTTTGAGGACCCTCCATTCTGATTTTCCAACTTGCTGAACTACTTTACATTCCTACCAGTAGTGTATGAGGGTTCCTTTTTCTCTCAAATCTTTACCAGCATTAGTTGTTACTTCTTTTTAATGATAGTCACTCTGCCTGGGATCAGATGGAATGAATGTGGATATAGATTAAATTTGAATTTCTTTAATGGCTGAAAGTGTACAGTTGCCTCTCTCTATTTACATAGTCCAGAACACCTGACAGGGAATGCTGCTGTCCATAGAGAGCAGATCTTCCCACTTCAATTCAACAGCCAAGCCCAGAGGCCCATTTAGCTTCTAGAATCTGTCAAGTTGATAATTAACATTCACCATCACATATTGCTATAATAAAGTATCTGAGTATAAATATTTTAAAAAGAAAATTTTATTTAGCTCAAAATTTTGGAGGATGAAAGTACATTCATCTACTAATTGGTCTCTGATGAGGGCCTTCTATCTGTGTCATGACATAGTGAATGATACGCATAACAGAGAGCACAGTAAACTGAGAGGTCACGTGGAAGGAAGGAAGCAATAGACAAAGGAGGGGCCAGACCTCTTCTTATAACAACCTGCACATGGAAAATAATTCTTTTCTCCAATAACTACAGTAATTCCAATAGTGATACCATCATAAACTAATAACCTTCTAGTAGGGTCAGTCCTCTTAAAGATCAAGCACCTTTCAATTCCATTACATTGGAAGACCAAGCTTCCAGCCCATGAAATACTGGGTTATATACTCTATCCCTATGAAACCATATTGAGCAATAAAATACAGATGTGAAGGCCCAGAATGCAGTCTAGTGGGTTTTCTAAAATTTAGACATACACACACAAACACAACTCATTCAACCATTACTAAGCTAATTTCAAAACGTATTTTTATTATTTAAAATACATACACACCTGGAAGAAGTTTCGCTTCTGGAAGAAGACTTGTTACTTGGTGACCATGATCATGAAGAATTTGTGATATCACATTCATCTTAAGATTATGGCTTCCACCTAGAGGCAAGATAAAACTTTAGTGAAGACAGGAATAAGATTCCTGATGATAATGTGGTTGTTTTCAAAAGCAAATGGAAATACCCAAGAGAAGGAATGGAGAGACTTAGGAAGTTGCTCAGAGCACAGGTGGAGACAAGGTATTTAGTCCCTTAGTCTCACTTCAGGTAACACGAAGATGAACCTAGAACCTCCATCAAAGATGCGCTTTTTTAAAAAAATTCACTTATTATTTTCATATTTCATGTGTTTGAATATACTGCCTGCATGTATGTAAGCACACCCATGTCATGCAATGCCCTCAGAGGTCAGATGAGGGCATCAGATCCCCTGGAACTGGAACTACGGCAGTCGTTAGCCACCATGTGGGTGCTGGGAACTGAGCCTGGGTCCTCTGCAAGAGCAGCCAGTGCTCTTAACTGCTGAGCCATCTCTCCAGCACCCCAAAGATACTCTCTTGTGTCTAATTGTCTCCATGCCTATGTGATAAGCTTCTCTGTACTTAGTTATTAAGAGTTTCTCATTCCAAAGTAGACACTGCATTCCAGATGAGACAGGGCAGGTCAGGATGATATGAAGTAAACCACACTGCAATTCAGTAAGGATATCATCAAGACATTGTGTCAAAGATTGCTGGAAATGTGGAAAATGTGGAACAATACAATAAGTGTTAGACTGGTCCTTGCCATCAATTAGTGGTATTTCTGAGATTCTTTCCTGGAAAGTCATAGAGATAGAAATGCAGGCACTAAAGGATGAGTCATAAGCAACCTTGGAAACAGAAAGACATGGAGCCACCATTTAGGACAAATACACTCAAATGCACATTTCTCCTCATGGACCTGAGCTTTGCAATCTATTGCATTAACCCTTTATGTACAACTATGAGAACCATGGGGAATTTCAACAGATACTAGGTATATAAGATATGGCTATTGCACAGTCCTTGGATTCTAAAAACATAGAGAAATGACTCCAGATGTACAAGTGTCATCACACCCATATCTTCTCTTATCCATGTTCTCTTTGTGATGTTACTCTTGAGTCTAGTGATGTCAGAATCAGTGGATGCCAAATAAAGAGAAAAAGAACAACAGTTGTCAAAAGTTGAGATGTCAGGTTTATCTGGGAGTTGAAAGGGTCATGAGGTTAGATTGAGATGCCACCTATGTGCCTGGAGAAACTATATGTATCTTTTGCAGTGACTTAATTTTTATGTCTAACGTGTGTGGTTTGAATTAATACAGGTCATATAAACAAGAAACCCCATACCATTCAGGCTATCTGTCCTTTCATATTTTACTTAGTAGAAAAACTGAGTTCCAAGGGGTCAGTGGGCCCAGTGAAGAAGATTTTCTGCTGGGTATTCACAGCCAAGAGTTCATCTCAGCACAAAGGTGAAAATGTCAAAATGCAAAAACTAAGCTAGTTTATTCCCAGAGGTGGGAGCAGAAAACAGGATAAATAAATCAGGTCTCTTCCTTTACCTTGCCTCAAAGAGCCAGGGCAAAAACAGATTAAAAACAGAGTCAGACAAAAATTAACAGTTGGTTTGGAAAGTCTCAAATATAAATACAGTCGATAATAAAATGTGTATGAAATTGTCATGTGACATTAGGTAGACATGTGTGGTTGTGCCAATAGGAAGCTCAGGTCCTGGACTTTGTCTCCCACTCAGGAGAGCAAGGTGTAAAACTGAACCAGATATCTATACTCTTTGCTTCCATCCATCACTAAAATCTGCAAATTCTATTCCTTTAAACAGATATGCTTTTAATCTATTGTGTTCTACATACTTAGGCAAATAAAAAATATATCACTATCATAAAATGAACTACCAGCTGTGAGAGTTATTTGAAAATTGTAAGGAAGTAAAAGGTCCCCAAGAATCCACTAGGTGAGGCCTGATCAACTTTCCAATTTTACTTTGGAAGAACACACTCTTAAAGTGCACCCTTAAGAAATTGAAGGTAAACCTCTGAAAGTCCTGTTTCTGCCAATGAGGAAGTTCTGGGGTTCTCAAAGTTCTTACTATACTTAACCCCTTCACCCTAGTACTTTCTAATGGGGAATACTTCCATAGCACCTAAAAAGAAAACTGCTATCTTCCATAAAGCTGGCCTCCTATAGAGACAGTCATAGATTAGTAAATGGGGATATAAGACAGCTTATTTACTGTTACCTCTTAAAAGCATGCTTTCAACATTTTGTCATAAAACACCAGATTAGGACCTAAGGCTAAAACGTTTTGTTTTGTTTGTATATTTTTGTTGAATTTTTGTACATTTCATATACTACATCTTCATCATAGTTTGACTCCTTTCCCATCTACTTCTCTCCATAGCCCAACTATAAGACTCCATGCATTCTGTCATATCTGTTAAGGCCTATCAAGTCAAGTTTGTATACCCAGATGTCCCTCGATGTGTGTTCATTTAGTAGAGCCTGTTCAGCCTATCTAATGTCTTTCCCTTAATGAAATCAACTCTCCTTGCGCACCAGTGATCAGCTGCCAATGGTTATTTGGTTAAGGCTAGGGCCTGGTGCCCATTTCCCCAGCTCTATGCTGGTTTTTGTCTGAGTTTGCATGGGTCTTGTGCATGCTATCACCATTGCTGTAAGTGCATATGAGCAAGTTCCCAGAAGCTAATGCTAAAACATTTAAAATAGACTAAAGTTAGTGGAGTTTCAGGTAGCTGGACAAATAACAACCACAAGGGAAACTGTTACTGAGGTGAGACCTTAATGGATGAAAGTCCCTCAGTACTAATATAATATCAACTATGTCAGCAGTCTGTCAGAGCAGAATCTGACTCCTTCTGCCCAGGAATTACCAAAGAAAGAGCTAAGCTTTTCAGCTTCACTTGTTCTTAAATAACTTAAAATTCACTAAATTTGTAGTCACTGCAGAGCAATACACTGATGCAGACAATACACATTAACAGAGGGTAATCCTTTTTATAAGTTACAGATTAAACCATTATATTAGTTTGAAGAAACTTGAATGTGACTGTTTCTAAAATTCTGAATCTTCACTGGCACCTGTGACTAACCAACAGAGTCTATAATGTGGTAGGAGACTCAGCAACTCTTTCACATTGTGTCTCTCTACTTTGCTATTCTCACCTTTACATCAGATTCTACACAACACAACATGTAGGCAAACAGATCGTTTAAAATTTTTTCTCAAAGACATAAATATAGATTTAAGATGGCCTAATATTAGTTGGAACTGATATGTCTTTCCCTACGTTGTCCTGCTTTTTTAATATAATTTTTTTAATTTTTATTGTGCTTTTGTGCACTTCATATAACAGTTACTAATCAAATTTAGACCCCTTTCCTTTATCCATGCTCCCCCTAGCCCTCCACCAAACCCCATGTCCTCCATCATACATGTTAAGTCCTGCTTTTCATAAGTTATTTAAGTATATAAAGTCCCACGGGTTTGTTATGTCTCAATCAGAATATACCAAAAGTACTTCTAACCCACTTCCCTGAGTCCTTGTTTCCCTCAGAAGCCTCATTGAGTTGGGCCTCCACTGCTCTTATTTCTCTGGGCGTACTGATCTTCTAAACTCCTGCCAGAATGGCCCTTTCAGCTCTGTTTACCATGTTCAATGGCTTTTTAAACTCTTTCACACTTCTCATGAAAACCAGTTCCAAAAGCCTACAAACTATGTGGTCAAGTTTATCACAGGAATATCTCCACAGCTCTTACCAATTTTGTACATTATTTTCATGACTCATTGCTATGACAAACATACCTGACACAAAAGCCACTTAAGGAAGGAAGGGCTCATTTTGGCTTGTATTTCCAGACAATACCGTCCGTCATGGCTGGGAGGCTATGGCAGTGGGAGTAAAAGGCAGTTGAACACATTTCACCCAGTAAGGAAGCAGAGACTGATGATCTGTGTTCAGCACACTTTCTCTTTTTTGTTCAATTCAGAACTTTAGCCCACAAGATAATACCACCAACATTTATGGTAGGTTTTCCAACCTTGATTAACCTGATCTAGATTATTCCTCACAAGCATATTCAGAGGTTTGTTTCCATAGTGATTCTCTGTCCCATTAAATTCATAATCAAGAGTAGCCATCATACCCTCCTTCAACCCTGGTCTAATCCAACTGGAAACACACATACATGATCCTCTAAATACAAATATTATGAGACCTACAGGCATAGATATCCCAAATGCAGTTTTCTATATTCTCAGGCAAAGCACTCACCCACTGTGGAGATAGTCAGTATTTTTTCAGCCTCTGAGAGAAGAAATCCATGGAGAAAGAGGCTCCCTAAGAGCAAAACCTGATGCCTAACCATGTTCATTTGCACAGAAATTCAGAGCTCACTTATAGATTGTGTATCTTGAGAATTGTGAATGCTAAATGACACTGTATTCTGTCACAGGGAACTGGCTTTAGCCTTCAGAAAGGTAAAAATGGAGACACTATCTCTCTTATCTACTGTCTGCCTCTCTTGTATTCTGCCCCTCCTCATTGGTCAATTTCCATTGGACATTATGTGCCCACCTCCTCAGTTACAGGAGTTTCTGGACCAGATGGAAAGCTAATCATTAACCTGACCTCTCCACATATTCTGCTCCTCCCTGCCTAGAAATCATTCAGTAATAAGAATGTAAGGGCCTCAGGAAATTTTGTCAATAATAACACCTTTAAGTCACATGGGTCAATATCCCATTTATGGACGCTTTCATGAATCTGAGATTCTACCAGTTAGTCTAATTGCCCTGTGTTGACATCTTTGTAACCTATTAGCCCAGGTACCAGCTACATTTCTCTGCTATTGTCCTAAAGTCTAGATCTAAATTCTAAATTCTAGTTGTAGTGAACTGAGTCATCATTGCTATAACAAGGAAGGAATTAGTAGGAAATTAATGAATTCACTCTTAAAACCAGAATATGGAAAATAGTATTCTGAGCACACCACGACAGAACAGTGTGCTGGGCAGTAACCAGAGCACCATCCTCAGCATGGGGCAATGAGTTTGGGGACCTCCATGTGGAAGAAGTAATTATTTGGTGTGAGAAAGATTATTTGTGTGCTATTTCCTGGCATGCAATTTATGTCCTACAAAGAAGATCAGTCAAGATTGACCTATGTACATTTCTGAGAAGTTTTCATGGGCCAATGTGTACATAATTTGGCATTGAGCAATTTCTGTCATGCAAACAAGAGCCATGCATCACAGTTCAATCCTCAGTAATCGCTTCCTTTGTGGTTTTTTGTTTGTGCAGGCACCTGAAGCTCCAACTTTCATCTGTTTTTTTCAACATTTTAGCCTTAGGTCCTAATGTGGTGTTTTACGAGAAAGTACTGAAAGCATACATTTAAGAGGTAAGAGTGAATAAGCTGCCTTATATCCCCATTCGCTAATCTATGACTATCTCAATAGAGGAATAGTTTTATGGAAAATATCAGTATTTTTTAAGTGTTATAGATCTATTTCCGATTATACAGGGTTAGGGTGTGAAATGGTTAGATATAGTCCTAATCTTGAGAACTCCAGAACTTTCTCAGTGATAGAGGTAGTACTCAAAGTAGTCTCTTAACTATTACCCCTGTAAAATTATACACACACACACACACACACACACACACACACACACTCTCTCTCTCTTCTAATATACAATGTCAGAGTATACATTCTTATTCCAAAAAGAACAATGGAGATATTGTGAGTAGAGATTGGTCAAAAACAAGACTAAAATCCAGCAGAGAAAACACAAAATCCTTGTAGTTTCATAGCCAGTATCCGTGGCTTAAGTATCAAAGGGCTTAGGTAACTCAATCCCTTGACTTTTGAGACCTTTGTTGCCTGAAACTAACTCT